AGAAGAACTTCTAAGAATAGATAACTTTGTGCAGGTCTCCAAAGGATAGAAGACCTTCTACAGGATAGAAGATCTATGGATAGAAGATCTTCTATGGGTGGAACAGGTATTCTAAGGATAGAAGATCTTCTACAGATCTTCTATGGGTGGAACAGGTCTACTATGGATAGAAGACCTTCTACAGGACTTCTATGGTTAAAAAACCCTACAGGACTTCTATGGCTAAAAAAAACCCTACAGGTCTTCTATTCACAGATGACCTTGTACAGTTCTTCTAAGGGTAGAAGACCTTCTAGAGGTCCTCTATAGATAGAAGACCCTCTACAAGTCTTTTAATGATAGAAGGCGTTGTACAAGTCTTCTATGGATAGAAGACCCTCCACAGGTCTTCCAAAGATAGAAGACCTTCTACAGGTCTTCCAAAGATAGAAGACCTTCTACAGGTCTTCCAAAGATAGAAGATCTTCTACAGGTCTTCTTAGTTAGAAGACCTTGTACAGGTCTTCCAAGGATAGAACACTTTCTAAAAATCTTCTAAGGATAGAAGAACTTGTACAAGTCCTTCAAGAATAGAAGACCTTCTAAATGTCTTCTATGGATAGAAGACCTTCTAAAGGTCTTCCATGGATAAAAGAACTTGTACAGGCCTTCCAAGAATATATGACCTTCTAGAGGTATTCTATGGATAGAAGGCCTTCTGTAGTTCCTCTATGGATAGAAGAATTTCTTTAGGTTTCCATGTATGGAAGACCTTCTACAGGTCTTCCACATTCTACAGGTCTTCCACATTCTACAGGTCTGCTATGATTAGAGAAAGAAAATAATTATAGAAGACCATCTACAGGTCTTCTATGTATAAAAGTCCTTTCACAAGTTTTCTATGTATGGAAGACTTTCTACAGGTCTTCCATGGATTGAAGAACTTCTAAAGGTCTTCTATGAATTGAAGATCTTCCATGGACTTGTTATAAAAAACTATTCCCATTGTGAACCAAATAGATTGTTTGCATGAGAGGCTGTATTTTTTCCTTCAATGTTTGCATGACTGACGGAATGCATAAATAAGCTTGTCGGCTTGGCTGACAAAGGGTGTGTGTGTGTCTGTGTAAGCTAACTATTAAATAAGTTATAATGTCATATCTCAGCTCATGTAACATTACAAGGCTCGCAATAGATCAACATCACTTCCATAGGCATGTGGCAGCCGTTGCTGCTGCTGCATTCCGCAGCAGTTTCCGAACCTTGTGTCGCCAGTTTCCTTGTCAGAATAGGGATGTCTTTGACATTATTTTCACAATGCGAACTGTTGTGAGAGGAAATAACAAGGATTTCTGGCGAGGTCTAGCATTGTTATGTTTGTTTTAATTTCAGAGGCTTTTTTTAATAAACCTTAATCCGCATTCGTGGCTTGGCAAAAGTACAAGCTAAGCATTGTCGTTAATGGTGGAATTAATTTGTCATTCTGAATTTATGTTGTTTGCTATGTCATTATAAAAGGATGGGGAGGGAAGAAGAACTGAAATAAAAACTAATAAAATGTGCTGAATATCTTCTAGGGTTGAATGATGATGATGATGTTGGTTGTTGTTTACATTGCAATAATGATTTGTTGCAGTTTTTTTTTTGTTGATATTGCAGATTCTGCACGTTCGTTTATTGGTTGGGTGGGAGGGTGCAGCAGGGACGTAGTGTGTCAGCTGGGATCACAGAAATCTCTTTGTTATAGTGGTGCAATGTTTACTTAAATAATAATATTCAATGGCGTATCTATTTTATTTTTTGTACTACATCGCTGCTGTGTAAGGCTACCTTATATGGCAGAGCTTCTCTGGAATGTTATGCACTTTTCATATAAAAAAAAAATGATGATGTCATTTCAGTTTATAATGAGAGCTGGAAGATATTTTGATACTAGGCTTTGAATATGAAAAAATGGTTTTCCATAGACAAAAGTCCTTTTTCCAGGGACTTTTATTGTGAGATTTTCCTACTGTTATTTTAGTAGAGACTCGCCAAGGTAGAATTCATAACTTCGGCCAAGAAGACTACTTTTTACAACAATTTAACATTAGTTTTTGCATTTTTTTTTTTGTTTTTGATTTGACTCTCTTTTAATTTCAAATCACAATATGACGGCAAGCTTAGTTGTCAAATAGGCTCGACTCTTCTTCTAAAAAAATCTGAAATGAAAAATATTCCCTTTACAATTTTTTTTCATTTGATATTTATTTTCTTTATTTTCATTCTTTTCTATTTTCACTCATCCATATTCTTGTTCTATGAAAAAGTAACATAGAACAAGACTATGAATGAGGTGGTCTCTGATATCAACGGCTTTGGTAGAAAGAATAGCCGAACCCTTTCTTCCTAACTCCATAGTTAGCCATATGGCTAGAGAGGGTATATATCATTTGAAACGGCAAAGCGTGCCTTATTGAAATAACGGTTTCAGACCCTAGATCTCTGTGGACCAAATCCATTTCAGGACATTTGGAGTCGATCTAGCGATCATCCGTCTTTCTGTCTGTCTGTGGATGGCTGGTGTGCACGATAACTCTCAAAGGGAGTATCCAATTTGGTCCAATCATGGTACATCGTAATATTATTACCAAACTTAGACCGAGTTCGGAGATGGGCAATAATGGTCCATTCCTTCTGGTACCTCCCACACAAAATGTCATTTAAATGTAATTTACTTCACGGGAATATAAAGGATAATCCGATTTTGCTCAAACTTTGCAAATGCTTATATTTGTATCAGTGCTAGGTCGGGTTCGAAAATGGACGATATCGGACCCCTCCATCAGGTACCTCCCCCACAAAGGGTCAAAATTTGGAATAAATATAACACTTATAAAATGTGATGTAAGACTCTGATTGTCTTCGTATTACACACGTCACAACATTTTTATTAACCCAAGGTCTGGTGTGAAGACGGAATAAGTCTGTCCACTCCTTCTGGTAATTCCCCCACAAAGAGTCAAATTTTTGAATAACCAAAAACGATCAAAAAATTCGAAATAAGCATCCAGTTCATTTCATATTTCATACATACTATTATTTTTACTAAAATGTGAAGATGGGATATGTCGGTTCATTCCTCCTGGTACCTCCCCTACAGATGGTCAAAATTTTAAAAATCCATAAAGCTTATAAAACGCCTGATCAACATCCGATTCCATTCAGAATTGGCACATCTCAATATTTCTATCAACACAAGATCTGTAATAAATATGGTAGAGATCAGACCATTTTTTCTGGTGCCTCCCTCACAAAGGGCCAACGTTTCACATAACCAAAACGATTATAAAATCGGAAACAAGCATCCGGCTCTCTTTAATATATACACACCAGAATATTTTTGTTAACCCAAGTTCAGGTGTGAAGGTGGAATACATCGGTCCACTCCTTCTGGTACCCCTCCCCCACAAAGAATCAAATTTTTGAATATCCATGAAGCTTATAAAACGCGAAATTAACATCCGATTTCATTCAGACTTAGCATATCTCAATATTTCTGGCAACACAAGATTTGTTATAAGGATGGTAGATACCGGACCATTCCTTGTGGTAGCTTCCCCACAAAGGATCAAAGTTTTGATTAACCAAAACGATTATAAAATCCGAAATAAGCATCCTGTTCTCTTCATATGTCACACATCCCATTATTTCTACTAACACAAGATCTGCTGTGAAGATCGGTCCACTTCTTCTGGTACCTCCTCCACAAAAGGTCAAAATTTTGAATATCCATGAAGCTCATAAAACGCGAAATTAACATCCGATTCCATTCAGGCTTGGTACATCTCAAAATTTCTGTCAACAAAAGATTTGTTGTAAAGATGGTAGAGATTTTGAAAAAAAAAGCATCCATTTCTTTTCGAATTTCGAATGAAAATGGAATACATGGGTTGACTATACCTCACCCACATTTTAACAATTTCTAAAAACTATCAGATTTTTTAGGAAGTAACCAATTTAGTCCGAACCTGGCACGTCGCAATATTTATGTCATATTTATTTAGGACCGATACGAAATGGACAATATTGGCCCATACCTTCCGAACCTACTCCGTAGAGGATCAACAATTTGATTAATCATATCACAAGTCAAAATGACTTTAAATAATCGAGCATTGGCTGAGGGTATTCATCTGTCGGCAAAACCGACTGATACTTTCTAACTTCTTTTCGTTTAACTTTTTCGTAGAACAAAAATTAACCCCAAGGTCACCTATGCATAGCAAACTTATGGATGTGGTTTCACTTTTTCATAGAACTTCACTTTTCTTAAAACAAGAAATGAGCCCCCAGTTCCCCGGTCTCCTATCCATAACTTATGGACGTGGTTTTCGATATCAACGGATTTGGTAGAAAGAATCGTCGAACACCTTTCTTTCTGAGTCCATCATTTTTAATATAAATACAATTGTACTTTAACAACATTTTGAAAAAAAAAAAAAAAAATATTGCCAGCAATATTTCAACTTCCCAATGTTAATTCAATTTGCTAATAAGTTCCGCATATAGCTATAAAGCCCCAAACGTGACAGCAATTTCAATTTCTTTTGGCACAGCACGTCTACATTTCTCGTGCATTATATCATCATGGTTGCACTTTTATTTTCATAAATAAATAAGCAACGGAGATGAAGATGCCAGAAAAGCAGCATGGCAAAGATATGATTTTGGCTTCTTGGCAATATCTGTGGTAAAGAGGTCCTCCACCCTCCTCAAACTTACATTTTGTATACCCTAGCTCTTAAGAAAATTGTTTATATTTTTTATATAGTCCATATTAAAAAAAGAAAAAAAAACCCTTATGCTTAAGGAAGGTTATGACTTCCTTTTTTGCTTCCCACCAACTTCACTTGGGATCTGGCCACTCACGTGCATTTCTTTATTGCCAAATATATACATTTGTTGCATTCATGCATAGGTTTGTTTGTGTTCGTTTTACCTTTTTCTAACAACGTTTTCTTTTTCTATATTTTCCACAGGTTTAAAGAAGTTCTTGGCTCAGTATCCTTCCATTTTCCTGGTCGATGGTGATTATGTTCAAGTGAACTGCTACCAACATTCCAATTCCGATGATGGCGGTTATGGCGGCCGACGTGATTATATACAGGAGGCAAAAGACTATTTCAAAAATAAATTGCTGCAGTATGGCATTGGTGTGGAGGTGCCGGTGCGCAGCTTGTTGGGCCATAGATCACAGGCATCACCACAAGTCAGACATATATCAGGTATGTGCTGGGGTGACATAATTCGCATATAACCATTATTCACACTCTTCTCTTCTATTCTGTTCTGTTCTGTTCTCTTTGTAGGCCAACACATTAAAGAGTTTACGGAGTTTCTCTTAAAGCATCCCGACACCTTTCATGTGGTGGATGACCATGTCGTTTTGGTGGGCTGTGAGGATATGACCGATTTGCCGGCCCGTGATCGTTTACATTTGCCCCAGACCAATATCGACACCAGGGCCACGCAACAGATGTTGGATTTCTTTGCCCAGTGCATTGAAATGAAGGGACCCATCATGGTCGATCAATTATTCCATTTGGTTACCACCAATTTTCCCCAGGAACAATGGCTGCGGATGTTTAAAACACCCAGCGATTTGATGACTTTCCTACGACTTTTCTCGGATTGTTTTCACATTCAAGCCAATCTAGTCACTCTCTTACAAAAACCTAAGCTAAGCGATTCTCACATACAACAGTCACAGGCCAAGTCCCGGGAGCAATACAATGCTATGAACAATAATCGGAATAGTCAACATCAGCAACAGTCGTCGCAACAGCAGCAAACGTCTCAACCGGCCATTAGTGCGGTACAGCAACGTTTGTTGTCGCCACGCTTGAATCACAGCAACAACAATGTGGGACAAAACAACTCCTCATTGCAAAACAATAACAACAATACTTCAAGCAATAATAACAACAACAACAATAGCATTGCTTCACCCAATTTTAAGCTAAATGCTCCCGTTACCACTCACAATGCATCAGCATCGTCTGGTTCCAATGGTGATTTGTCACAAAATCGTTCCGAACCCAATTCCGGTTTCGATAGCTACATACCCATCTCAGAGATGAAATTGGAAAATCTTTGTGAACGCAATTATCCCGCACCCAATAATTGTTCCTCCTACGGGGCCACCTCAAATCAACAAAATACGGGAGGAGGGGCTAACCAGAATAATCACTCAACACCACCTGCCATATCATTGCCACTGCAGGCACCACCACCAGTTGCCGAACGTCTGAACAGTGCCAATCAAACGTTGAAACAACGTATCAATAATCTGGTCATACGGACCCTGGCCGAAAACTATGAAAAAGACAAACAATCGATGGCCAATCAACAGGCTGGCTCTGTTGGTTACAATCCCCAGAACTCACCCCATCACAGTCCAAATCATGGAAATGTAAATAACACCACATCGTCGTCGTCCTCGTCGGGCCATAGCTCATTGCAAAATGTCAATTCATATAATTCTCCTAGTCAAAATTATTTCGTGGGTGATACCTGGAAGATAAAGGTTCTACAGAATACCAGTGTCATAGCGAATATTAAACAGTCGCTGTTTGTCACGGAGACAATGCTTAAGTTTGCCCAACAGAATCAATCGATTGTGGTGTCACTCGACTGTGAGGGCATCAATTTGGGCATAAAAGGTGAAATTACGTTGATTGAAATCGGTACGACACGTGGTGAGGCATTCATATTTGATGTGCGCACCTGTCCTGAAATGATTAATGATGGCGGTTTGAAGGCCTTGCTGGAACACGAGAATGTCATTAAGGTGGTCCACGATTGTCGCAATGATGCTGTTAATTTATATCTACAATTTGGTATATTGCTGAGAAATGTTTTCGATACACAGGTAGGTGGAGCGGGGAAGGAAGGGAGAAGTTATTAGGGTCTATTAAAAGAAACGCTTTTACAGAGTTTTTATTGACAGACGGCTCTCTGTAGGTCGACTATAGACAGAAGGCCTTTTGCACATACCTTCAATAGTAGATACAGGTTCTTCAACATGTTTATATTCGGAATACAATGTCTAAAGGTCTTCTTTCTACAGGCTTTCTTTAAATCAAATTCTAAAGAAGACTGGTATACATATATAGAAGACCATCTATTGGTCTTTATAGATAGAAAATCTATATTGGATAAATACCTTCTGCAGGTCCTTTTTAAGGGGAACATGTAAATATAGAAGCCATATAGAAGGTATTTATCTATAGAGAATCAACCTATAGAAAAAAATCGTCTATATAGTGGAGATCTGTAGATGATAATATATCTATAGGAACCAGTCATAGCCGTACATATAGTACTGAAAACCTGTTCCTAAACCCATCTGAATAAAAGCTGTAGATGGTATTCTATCTCCAGAAGACTTGTCAAGATCTTCTACCTATAAATCTTCTATTTAAGACCTGTAAGAGGTCTTTAAAAAGGAACAGATTTGGAGAATATCCTCAAGCCTTCCATTCTCCTATCTAGAATCTTTTTCTATTTTTAGAGGACATATAAAGGTCTTCCAGTTTATGCAGATCTTCCTTCTTAAAAAATCTAGCGAAATGTCTTCTTTTTTAAAAGACCTTAAAATGCTACAGAATTATCCAATTTTTCTTTTTCGATTTAATACAATTATTAAAATTGTTTACATTTTACTTTCAGGCTGCCCATGCTATTGTACAATACCAGGAGAGCGGTAAGCAGGTGTACAAAGCCAAATACATATCCTTAAATTCACTGTGTGAACAATATAATGCTCCCATAAATCCAATCAAAGAGCAACTAAAACAAATCTATAGACGAGATCAAAAGTATTGGGCCAAACGGCCATTGACCCGAGAAATGTTGCTCTATGCTGCCGGAGATGTTTTAGTTTTAATCAATGATCAGTTGTATGGCAATCTGACAAGGTAAGCCAATGGAGTATCAATGAATATAACTAATTTGAATAATATTTTATATCCCTCTCTCTCTCTCTCTGCAGACAAATAAAGCCAGAAAATCTGCAATTATTTTCTGAACTTTGTACCGAACAAATTCTCATGCATATCAAGCCAAACGAAGTGAAAATACGCAAGAAACAACGAAAGATATCCACTGAAGTATCCGATCTCAAACAGAAGTTAGCTCAAACCAAAACCAAGAGTATTGTGCTTTCCAATCGGGAAATACGTTTGTTAAGGTAGGGTAATACAAAATTGATTTTTTTTTTGATAATTATATCATCCCTTTCCTTTTTCTGCAGATATATGGACTTGACTGAAGATGAAAAGGAACGTGTAAAGGGTTACTATAAGGTGGCCAAGAAATTGGAAAAAATGGAATCATCTGGACAACAGAATAAGTAAGTTAATAATGGATATGTTTGTTTAGGTTCAATATAAATGTTTTTTTTTTATGTCCTTATCTGCTTCTCTATGCAGAGATCAAAGTGACTCCGAAGATGAACAAGAGACCAATGACAACGAAAATTTCCCCAGTTTGGATTCAGTGCCATCGGATAATTCATTGACCGGCACCTTTTCGCCACGTTTCAGTTCAGAACCACCAAGCCTGACCGAATCCATGCAAATGATGGATGAGATTTTGGCAAATCAATCTATGGACCGTGTGGCCAAAATTGATAAACTTGAAGCAATATTATCGGCTGTGACCCTATTGCCAAGTGATCAGGTAAGTGATGTTTTGTAATGTATTTTTTGTTATATATTGAATTATTTTCTTTGTTTTCAGATCATAACTTCCAATGACCAATTGGGCACAACCATAGCAACAACTGATAACTTACAGATCGTCAGAGAAAAAACGAAAAAGTAAGTGTGAGAAGGGGGGGAGAGAAAAAAGAAAACGAATTAAAATTCATATTTTCAAAAATGAGCACAAAGAGTATTTGTTCTCAAAAAAATTATGGAACACAGATCGCGAGGAGTAGAGGCTGTATGATATTGAAAGCATAAGGTCTTAAATAAGATCGGAGAAGAAGGAATTACAAATAGAATTTCTTCAATGAAACAATTTCTCCTTAAATGGTTTTCCAAAAAACAACGAGCGCTTAGAATAGATACTTTTAGCCTTTAAAAATATCTCTTATTATTGAGTTCGGAAATTCAACGCATATAACTAGGACTAGTCATCATTGCTAAGTGGTGAAAATTGCGTTTGTAATTGCATGATGAACAAATGCTAACGACTTAAGTGGGAGCTTTAATTTCCATTTGAAATTTTTAATTATTTTTTGCTGCGAAAAAAGGAAGAGGGAAAGAATAGACCGACCTTCCTCAAAATAAAACAAGTAAAAAGGTATCGGCCGGTTTTGCCGACAGATGTATACCATTAGCCAATGTTCGATTATTTTGTGCGGGCCGGTATCGTACGCTGGGCAGGCGTTTCGCACATCTTCGTTAATTCGTGCCCAATATAAATTGTAATGGCTGGACCATCCTAAATGTAGTTGGGACAAGACAGACGACGTGTAGTTGGCCAGGCAAACGACGTTCTTCAGCTGCAATGTATGGGGGGTGGACTACGAGGATGTCATTTATACTGTAATTGTTAACTACGTCTGCGACAGCATCAGTATGAATGCTATTCAGATCCGCTTGATAGGCTCCATGATCTAGGGGCTGGACCTCTCTATCTAGATCATGCAGGTCCTTCCTGACACGCCTGGGTAGGGTAGTTCTGTCCACCATATGGTGGTTAGAATTACTCCCACGATAACACCCAGATACTACAAGGAAAACATATCAGGTAAGGGAAGAATCTACGTCTCCTCATGTAAATGGTCCACAGGAGTCATGAGGAGTCACCCTGTTGCAGTTTTCAGGGCGGTATTCTGGCAGGTCTGAATACTTTGCACTCGTATTCGCACACCACACTGGAGCCGCATAGCTAACCACAGACCGACCTATCGCTTTCTAAGAGGTCAAGAAGGTTTCCTTGTCCGCACCCCGGCTAGCGATTTTAGGACCTTGTTCCTAATGTTTATATTGATTGCATTACATTGATTAATTCGATTTTGCTTCAACTTTGCAAGTCCTAATATTTGCATCGGTGTTAGGTCAGGTGGGAAAATGGTCCACTCCATCAAGTACCACCCCCCAAACGGTCAAAATTTGGAAAAATTATAACTCTTATAAAATGTGATATAAGAGTCCGATTGTCTTCGAATTCCACAAATCACAATATTTTTATTAATCCAGGATCTGGTATGCATATAGAATATATTGGACCACTCCTTCTGGTAGTGTCAATATTTTGAATATCCACGAAGCTTCTAAAACGCGAAATAAACATCCGATTCCATTCAGACTTGGTACATCTCAATATTTCCATTAACAAAAGATCTGTTATAAGATGACAGATATGGAATCATTTTGTTCTGGTACCTCCCCCACAATGGTTCAAGTTTTTTTTTTTTTTTAACAAAGCGAAATAAGAATCTAACTTTCCTCAAATTTCACACATCCAAATATTTTTGCTAACGAAAGATCTGTTGTGAAGATAATAAGGGTCACAATTTCCAATACTTATATCTGTCATAACTTGCGAAACAAGTTGGCGATTCTTTACAACTAAAATATCTAAAAATTTCTCTCAACCAGAAACCTCAGATGAACATCGAATTTATCGAAATGTATGATTTCGCATAAAATTGGATTTTGAAATTTTGAAATTTTGCCCATACCAATTTTTTTATCTGTATTAGATGAAGTATGAAATTGGAATACTTCGGACCGCTATATCTATTACATCACGCATATTTCCACATTTTCCAAAAATTTGCACAGATCTCATATAAAGTATTGGAAGTTGTCGATATAGTCCAAATCTGACACGTTGTAATATTTTTATCAGTCTTAGGTCAGATACGAATTGGTCAACATTGACCCCATAAAGGGTCAACAATTTGAATAGTCGTAACTCTAGGTTATTTTACTTGTTATACTTGCTTTGAATAAATCTAAGTTTTTACTCTCTTTTATTTACAGCATGAAAAATTGCAATTGTGTTGGTGAACGCAGCACCACGCCCACAGCCAACCAGATTATACGCAATACCGTGGACAAAGGCCAAGTAAAAATGATTGACGCAGCATCACAAACCTTGAGTACTGGCGATATTGTCATTACCAAGATTATCTTCGAAGACGAACACGAAAAGGCCAAAGAAAAAGTCTTGACTTCATCGCCCAAACGAAATAATTCATAAATTCACAAAAAAAAAGAACGCAATGGCAAAAAAGGCAAAAACAACAAAAACAATGGAGAAGGAGAAAATATTTTGATGAGATTTACATTTAATTGAAAAACAAAAAACCAATACACACATAAATGATTCCTAATTATTAATTAATTGAAATGAAAAGAAAAAAAAAAAACGATTTAAAAACTTTAAATGATTTGATTATAATTATAGCTCTAATTATATATATATTTTTTTTTTGTTAATAATTTTTTTCTCTCTCAATTTAAGTATAACATTTATTTATCATGTATTTTTGTTTCTTTGGATTTCCCTAGGGAATTCAAATAGAGCGGGCGTTATAAAATATTATCGAAAAAAAATTATAACAGCAACAACAAACACAAAACAAAAATAACCAAGCAATATTGTAGTATGTGCCTAAATGTTGAACATTTATTATTGCTAAAACAATTAAAAAAAAACATAAACATGTAATTTAATTGTAAAAGAAAAATTGAAATACTTTTCCCTCTCTGGCAAGAGACAGAAAACAAAAGTGAAACAATAACATTGATCCAACAATTCCTTTATTTTTATGTTAAATGTTAGAAACACAACAATGTATTGATCCCATTTACTTTGCTTTAAACAAAATCTTATTACTCTATTTTTCTTCTAATTGATATAATTTTTAACATAATTCTTTTAATTGATCTTTTTATACTCCCTCCCTCCCCTTTTTGGAAACATTCAAACATCATTGTATTTGTAAAGTCAATAAGTAATCATTAATTAAAAAAAAATGTTAAAGAAAACAAGTTTCATAAATTTAATTAGCAATGTAATTACATATCATCATTTATTGCAAAACATTAAAATTTAAACTAAAAGAAACTCCCCTATATATGATTACTAATAAAAATGATAACAAAAACAAACAACCTTCAAGGTAGTGCAAATTATTTGGGAATGGGAATGTCTTTAGGTGGCCCATAATTATTTGGTAAGGCAAAAATGGCGCCCAACGTTGCAATTTTTCGACATCGCAGCATGATAGAAAACAAAAACAGAAGGAACATGCCATTTCAAGTATCCCTATCCATAAAAGTTAGAGATGGTTTCCAAAAATGTCTCCCCCTATTTATACCCTCCACCATTCTATGGAGGGTATATTAACTTTGTCATTCCGTTTCTAACTCCTCCAAATACTCATAATAGACGCTACAAAGTATATATTCTCGATCAGCGTAAAATTTTAAAAAGGTTAGCGATATCCGTCTGTCTGTTTTAATGACGCTATCTTTGGAACGAATTGAGATAGAAGGATAAAATTTTGCATACATGCATGGTTTACCAGTAGGCAGGTTAAGTTATGGGTCATGTCGGTCCACGTTTTCCTGTAGCCTCCATATAACAGTACCTCCCGATATTCGGTATTTTTATTATTTACCGGAATTATTTCGAATTTCGTATTTGAAGTTCGTAATTGATACTGTAGCCTATGACAAAAATGTTTATATGCAGGTCCACGTCTTCGTATAGCCCCCATATAACGGTACCCCCGATAGTCGGTATTTTGACGATTTCAGAAACAATATTCTCCGGAATCGTTTCAAATTTCGTATTGATAGATCTTAATGGGTACTACAACTTATGGCAAAAATATTCGTACGCAGGTCCACGTCTTCGTATTTGAAGTTCGTAATGGTGATTACAGCCTATGACAAAAAATTTCATATCCAGGTTTACGAAAGGGACAATCATTTAAGTGGCAGTTTTCGGATTTTTTTTTTTTTTTTTGATTTTTTTCAGTCCATTTTTTTTCATTTCCTTCCAAATGGTGCAGGGTATTAAAATTTCGGACCGGCCGAACTTAGCTGCTTGTTTTTTTCTCAATAGATAAAATACCTCTCTTTTGTATTTTGCAGGGTGAGATAAAAATACTGCAACAAAGTCAAACGCCATAATTTTTACATTTTTTCTAAATTTTATTGAATGAAAGCAAAAATGTTAGCATCAAATTTTAGAATAAGTTTAGATTTGTTCGAATTTGTCATGTTTGGCATGACTTATTTTTTAGTGCCAACCTTTCTTTCCAAAATACTCCAGACACAATAGTCCAATGGATTGATATCCGGAGATTTTGGTGGTCATTGTACGCTGGAAATTAAGCGAGGAACCTCATTTTGTAACCATTCTTGGGTGGCGTGTGCTGTGTGAGTTGGTGCTGAGTCTTGTTCGATTGTCCAAGGCGGCCCAAACCATTACCATGGCCGGCGCTTGAGTTCTGGTGTCCAACCGTTTCAGCTGACCTCTTTGGCAAGTAAACACGATCATTTTGTTTGTTTACAAACTGCTGGACAACGAATGTTTTCTGATCGGAGTGTACCAAATTCGGCAGTTCACCACTTTCGGCCAAGCGAAGCAACTCTTTAGCTCTTAGAAGTCTATTTTCTTGCTGTTTCGATCAAGTCGCTTCTTTGCTTTTCGAACCATTTCCGTCCACTTCCTTGACGTCGGGATATGCTACCAGTGTCACGGTACCGAGAGATGGTACGAGACACAAACAATTTATCTTAAAGATAAATGCTGGAGTGCTCTAACGATAGCACCTTGTGGTTTTCCAGCCAAATATAAGGACTCACGCTTGAATTCCATAACGAATAACTTTTTTTCTGGAAAGTTCTCACCAAAATGCTTTTGTACCCTTGTAAAAAATATAAAGATCTGTCACTGGAATAATTTTAACAGCTATCGGACGAGTGGCTTATTAATGACAGCAGCCTGAAGTTGGTTGCAGTTTTTTCATCTCACCCTGTATTTATTTATTTTTCTTTGATGCATTTTTTAAAATAATAATATATATTAAATTATTAATTAAGGTAAAAATGGCGCCCAACGTTACAAGACACTATAGAGTAAGGATATTTTTAACCATATTCTGATACAAAAAAGAAAAGGCACATGTTACTTAATTTATCTATCCCTATCCACATAACTTAGAGATGGTTTTCAAATAATTCTCCACCATTTTCTCGATAAATAAAAGACCTCTTTTTTGTATTTTTCATATATATATATTTTTCTTTTTTTCTCTTTGATAAATTTTTATTAAATAATAATATTCATTAAAAATAGTAATAATTTTTTTAGCCAATGTTTAACATTGAATCGAGGAGGAAGCACAATTATAATTTCATATTAAAAAAAAAAAAAACAAAACAAGAATTTGTAAAAAAACCTAAAATTATAACATTATAAATATTTACATGATGGTTTAAAAAATTTAAAATATACAAATATGTAATAATAACAAAATAGAATTTGAAAGTCTCTAATTTAAACAATTTATTAAATGTCTAAGAACAATGAAAAAAAAATCTTGAAAATTGTTTTGATATTAAGAAAGCAAGTATTTATGTTAGTTCTATTAACAAATGTGATTCGTAGATAATATTGGAATAATTGAGGCAAGTGCAAGTTTAGCAGACCAATTAAAAATCACAAAGACAATTCGAGATTGGAAAAATTTCTCGAAAAAAAATTCGGAGTCAGTTTTAGGGGGCTGTGAAATTTGAAGTTAGCTCTACGGGTCACTAACTCAAAATTAAAAAAAAAAAACAAAAAACAAGTAAAAAAAGCCAAAGTTCTGCCGTGCCAAACTTTAAATACCATTAAATAAATATTTGGACCGAATTTGGAATTAAAAAAAAAAAATAAATAAATAAAAAAAAAATAAAACAATTAAATCCGTTGAAAATCCTCTTAAAATCTAAAAAACACCGAATATAGCCATTATTTTGGGGTCTATACGAAGACCTGGACCTGCATAGGCAACTTTTGTCATAAGCCATTAAAATATTCAAATACGAAACTAGAAAAAAAAACGGTGAATAATGTAGCTAAAATCATCAATAAACCGAATATAGGGAGGTACCGTTCTATCGGAGCTATACAAAGAGCGGGATCTGTATAGACAATTTTCTGTCACAGCCTGTAGTAGCTACTAGGAACTTCAAATACGACCTCTCATACAATTTCGGTGAATATTGTACATAATATCGTCAAAATACCGAACATAGGGAGGTACTGATCTTTGGGGCCTATACAAAGACCTGGTCCTGCATAGATTATTTTCTGCCATAGGCTGTAGTTCCCATAAGGAACTTCAAATACGACATCTCATACAATTTCGCTAAATACTGTACCTAAAATCGTCAAAATGCCGAATATAGGGAGATACTGATATATGGGGCCTATGCAAAGACCTGGACCTGCATGGACAATTTTCTGTCACAGACTGTAGTTTCCATTACGAACTCTAGGTACGTAATTTGAAAACACTCCGGTGAATAATGGCGCTAAAATCGTCAAAATATCGAATATCGGGAGGTACCGATATATCGGGTGTATACGAAAACCCGGCCCTGCAAAGAAAATTTTCTGGCTGTAGTTCCCATTACGAGCTCTAAATACGAAATTTGAAACAATTCCGATGCATAATGTCCCTAAAATCCCCAAAATACCAAAAAAAAAAGGGGGGGGGGGTACCGTTGTATGTGGGCTATACGATATCGTGGACCCATATAGACAATTCTCTTCCAGGCGGGAAGTGCTTAGAAATAACTTCTAGCATGGATTTTTATACAATTCCATAAAATCGCCAAAATATAGGGAGGTATCGTTATACGGGGGATATACGATATCGTGGTCCCATATAGACAACCATCTTCCAGGGAGTAAAGTACTCAAAAGGATCTTCTTTTGTGGATTTTCAGACAATTTCATTGAAAAAAATTGGGTAAAACCATCAACATACCGAATATCGGGGGGTTCCATTATATGGGGGTTATACGATATCGTGAACCGATATATCCCATCTTCGAACTTGACCTGCCTGCAGACAAAAGCCTGATGTGTGAAAAATTTTAGCTTCTTATCTTTATTCGTTTTGACTCTACAACAGACGGACGGACGGACAGAGCTAAATCGTCTTAGAATTTTGCGCTGATCAAGAATATATATACTATATTATGTCCAAAATTATTACTTCGATAAGTTACAAACGGAATGACGAATTTAAATTACCCTTCATACTATGTATGGTGGAGGAGATGTTGCCCATTCAGTGAGAAAATATGGCTAGGAACTCTAAAATACCAATAATTGTGAGATATCGTTCTATGGGGTTTCACGTTTTCAGTAATTTTTGATTTTGATGACAAAAAGTGGCGCCCAACGTGAGTGGCTGAATTTTTTGGTATTATGATCAAATTGTTGTTCTGTTGAAATACCAGTGAAAAGGAGAACACAAATCTTCGATATCACTTTGTGATTTAAAAAATCTACAAAAAAATGGCGCCCAAGTGAATTGGTTGAATTTTTAGATATTAAAAAAAATTAAAGATTTAATTATGTGGAAAAGAGCAACACAAATACTTAATATTTCGTTGAAATTTAGGATAAAAAAATGGCGCCCAAATGAATTGATTGAATATTTAGATATTATAAAAAATTAAATGTAATAATGTTGAAAATAACAACTCAAATACTTAATATCTCGTTTTAATTTAGGGAACCAAAAAATATGGCGCCCAATGTGCTCGATTGAATTGTTTGGTGTTATAAAATTTACACCTTAATATATCCCAATATTATTACGAACTGAAATTAAATTTCATTAAAAACAAAACTATCTAAATCCATTCTTTGAAAAAAAATGAGAAAATATAAAAATTAATTTCTTTTAAGAGTTTTCAAATACCAATAATTATATAAAAGATTTTAGGTTAAATATAGTAGTATAGTTTAGTTTAAAGAACACATTTTCCGGGAAACAAAACCTTAGAGTTGTTTTGTAACATATATGTATGTTAAGGCAGAACATTTAAAGGTAACACGTTTATCTATGTTTTAGGTGGGTGGGTGTTGGTTAGAGGGG